CACCCCACCCCATCCCATCCCAGCCCATCCCCACTGACCCTCTCCTGCGCAGGTACCACCAGGCTCCATCCAGGCGCCCCCCGCTGCAGCCCCGCTGGTTGCGGGTGTCACAGGAGAGGAGGTTTTGCGGGGACAGGGCGGGGGTCATGTGTCCCATGGAGTGGATGGAAATGCGGTCCGAGGCGACGGCTGGGGAGGAGCGGGAGGTCAGGGGGAGGCGGTTCTGTCTCTGTCCCCGCTGTCCTCGCCCAGCCTGCCCCATCCCCCCTCACCAGCCGTGGAGAAGGCCCAGGAGCCGGCGCAGTTTCCCTGGTCCAGGGGCTCGTGGATCATCCCGGGCCATTTGGTGGCGGCATCGAAGTGACGCGGCAGCACCTCGTTGGAGTCCATGTTCATCTGCGGGGCAGAACCAGGGGGGGTTTAGCCCACCGGGACTCCCCCAGCTCCTCCTGCCACCCCTGCCATCCTCTGAGATGGTCCCCAGCCAATTTTAGCGTCCTGGAGCCCGGCTGTGTGACCCCTGCTCCTCCTCCTGCCACCGCAGCCATCCTGTGAGCAGTGTCCCCACGCAGGTATTGTGTCCCCCAGCCTCACTGCCAGACCCCTCAGGGCAGGGACATCACCACAAAGATTATCCCAGAAAGGCCACACGCCTCAATTTCCCCTACATTTGGGATCCACAGCCCAGCAGCTCCTTAGAGAACACCAGCACCGAGTGACCTGTCCCAGACCCCAGCAAGGCCCTCGGTGGCCCCGGGTGACACAGCCCCTCACAGTGGCCTCTGGCCCAGCCTTTCCGCTCGGGAGCAAGGGACGGTGCCCCCGCCCTGGCCTTCCTGGGGAGGACACGGCCACAACTCCCCGGCTTCTCCCAGCGCAGGAAGCGCCTTTACAATTAAACAAACCTCAGGCTCTGGAGCGCGGGGCTGGGCGTGCAGCAAGCTCTGCCAGCACCCCAGGGACCCCCGGGGGTGCCCACCCCGGGGGTGGGTACGGGCAAAGGCAAAGCGCTGGAGCAGGCGGCTCTGCTGAGTCAGCAGCGGCGAGGCCGGCGTTCCGATGGGAAACCAACACGGAGGAGAGGGGGTAAAAACAACACTGGCAGCCCGGCGATTGTCCGGGGGAATTTGCTGAGCTGCTGTCTCCAAACATAAGGGCTGCCCTGCCTCCAGCCTGGTAGCCCCTTCCCAGCCATGGGGAATCACTAGGACGGGCGGGGACAGCCCCTGGCGTGCCTCAGTTTCCCCGCCGACGGGGACTCACATGCATCTCGTTCATGTTCATGACGGTGGGAGAGGGACGGAAGGTGCCCAGGCGGTGCCGGATCCCGTCCTCCAGGGTCATCCCCCAGAACTGGCTGTAGTTGGCGGCTCTCCAGCTGCGTGGGAAGAGGGGACACGGGTCAGGGGTTACCCCAAAAAGCACCGAGGGGTGAAACATCCCCGCCCCATCCTCGCGGTGCCCGGTCCTTACCCGTAGTTGCCTCTGTTGACGGCATCGATCAGCTCCCCATCCATCAGGCAGGCGTGGTCCTCGCACTGCCACTGCCCGCCGGGGCCACAGGTGCTGCAGAGGGGACAGCCGGTGGGAAATGGTGTCCCCAGAGTGACCAGGAGGACCCTGAGTGAGCGCTTCACCTCCAGAACTGTGCAGCCAGCGAGGGGCGAGGGGCTGCTTTTGTCAGGTGTCACCAGAGCTTGGCACCCTTAGAACGGGGTGACGCCCTCTGGGTGACCCTGAGTGGCCTTTGGGTGACCCTGAGTGTCCTTTGGGTGACCCTGAGTGGCCTCTGGGTGGCCCTGGGAGCTGTCCTCCCCCGCCCCAGCCCCCGCTGGAGCCCCGAGGGCAGGCAGGCCATGAGACAGAAAATCAGCTGAAAAGCTGCCAGGGTTGCAGATATCAGAGAGGGGCTTGGACACCAGCCGGGGGCCGGGGGTCGGGGCTGGGTGTCCCCATCAGTGACCCACCGTGACCAGGCCACTCCTGCGGCACCCACGGGGACAGCCGGGGTGGGGGGGTCCCCTGGGGAGCCCCGGGCTGTGCTCCCCCCGTGCACTGAGCAATGCTTGGCACGCTCCCTCCTGCCCAGATCCCGGCACATTTCCCTTTTATGGAGCTGAGCGAGGCCGCAGCCGTGTCCTGCCAGACACCCCCATCCCAACCCCGCCGGCAGCACCTGCCTTCCAGCATTCCTCCCTCCATCCCTGAGCGCTCCCAGCGCCCCGTGGGACACCTGGCGACTCGGGAGCACCTCAGGGTGCCACCAGCTGGGTACTCACACTCTGTGTCACACCTCGCCATGGCTTTTGTCCCCTGGCACCCACCCAGCCACCGCAGGACCCCGGCAGGGACAGGGGCGGGGCTGAGGCGCTGCAGGAATTCCTGTTCTCCAGGCACCAAGTGCGGGGCAGGAGGGTTTGGAAGAGAAGATTTGCCCCCTCCCCAGCGCTGGTGGGTCAGAGATGCTCCAGCAGCAGCAGGGACGGGACATCGACGTGCATGGCTTGGGGACACTGTCATTCCCCCGGGAATGGGGACACTGTCATTCTCCCGGGAATGGGGACACCCTCCATCCCCGGGTGCTCCTTGCCATGATCCCGGAGAAACTCTGGGCTGCCGCAGAGCTGTGGGGAGGGTCGGGCTGGCTTTTCACCTGCAGCCCAGGTGCACGCCCGCACACACATGTTCTCACACGTGCTCCTGCCCTCGCACATGCCCCAGACGCTGCCTTTGATTCCCGCTTATCTGCCGCATCGCCCCGCCGGCTTCAATCCTCGTCTCCGGCAGCTTCGCGCCTGGAGGCTCCCCTATCCCCCATCTCCGGATGCCAGTAATACCAGAATTCCCAAATAACTCCTGCTCTGCTCCAACAGCGAGCTCTGGGGGCTGCCGAGCGGGCGGCACAGCCGGACTCTGGCCCCTGGCACAAAACCGCCGAGGCTGCCCAAGCGTCCCGTCAGGCTTGGGCAAGCTGGGCTGGGACCAGCGTGGCCAAAATCCCCCTGGGCAGTGCCTTGTCCCGCCGGGGCGAGCGGCTCCCACGCAGGCATGCGCTGAAACTTGGGAGCGGCTCAAGGCCCTTGGCTCCGAACTTGGAGGGAAGGATTTTTGCCAGCAGCTCGGGCCTCGCTCTCCGCCGAGCCCTCAGGTTTACAGGAACCCGCGGGACGGCGACACCTTCCTCTGGTGACATGCTGGTGACACGCCACGGGTGTCCCCAAAGCACTCACTCACCACAGGTTGCAGTTCTCCCGGTACGTGGCTCCGGTGGGATAATTGTGTCCGGCACGGGCACAGCCTGGATGGGAAGGGAGAGCCCCCGGTGAGTGCTTGGCTGTGCCGGGGGTCCCACCAGCACCCCCATAATCCCGGGGGTACAAACCAAAGGGAAAATCAGTGCTGTTCTTAAATCCAGGCAGGTGCCCGGCTGCACCTTGGCACCCCCAAAGTTCTGCTGGGGGTCAGCAGGTGCTGCAGGGCGGGAGCGGGGCTGGCTCGGCGCCGGGAGGGTTAAATGTGCTCAGCTTGGCGGGACAGGGATAAAGGGGCCGGTTGTGCCCGGGAGCTGGCTCTGCTCCGCAGCGACTTCAGAGGGAGCCTTGTGCTGTGAGCTGGGGGCTGCCCGTGCCCCATCCTCGCTCCCGGCCGCCCCAGCTGCCCGCAGGGTTAAGCCAGGGCCAGCATCTGCCTGCCCCAGACGTGACCGGGCAGGCTGGGATGGTGTCCCCACACGTCCCCTCACGTCCCTGCTCCGGCCACAGGCGCCGCTTGAGCTGCCGCTTCCCCAGGGAACGGGCTCTGGGCTCACGGGCTGCTCCCGCACCTTTTTTTCTGGGAGTCCATCCCCATCCCGGACACTCTGTAGGAGTTCCCACAGCTTAGAGGGGTCCGGAGCAGCTCTGCGGTGAGGGCAGGAATGTGGGGTGCCACATCCATCACCCCAAGGAGCATCACCCAGCGCGTGCAGCACCCCAGGGCTGCGCCCAGCAGCCGCAGCCGGACTGGGCGCGCCTCACCTGGGGCTTTGGGGAAGGGGGCCGGGATGCCCAGGCAGTATTCCCAGAAGTCGGGGCAGCAGTCAGAGACGGTGCGGTTGCAGAAGAGGTCGCAGTAGCAGAGGGTGTCGTGGTAGGGCACGGTGCAGCCGTCGTCGCGGCCGTGGCAGCAGACATCCCCCCGCTGGCAGTAGGAGCCCCCGGCGTCGTAAACTCCGTGCTCGTACAAACCGGGCCCCAGCTCCCGGCGGGTGCGGACCCGGGAGGACAGGGCCACCTGGGCCACCTGGGCCACCAGCCAGAGGCACAGCAGGGCCCGCATGTCCCCGGTCATGTCCCCACCCCTGCAGAAGGAGGGCAGAGGGATCACGGGGGTCCTGCAAGCTCCGTCTCACTGTGGGCGCTGCTCCCACCCTGCCTTCCCCGGGCTCCTCAAAACATTCCGGTTTTGTAACTCCCCTTGTGACCACGCAGCTCAGCCTCCAGAACACCCTCTCTCTCCCCAGCTCCCCACTCCGCGGCACCTGAGTGGCCCCGTGCCCGCCCACCCCTTAACCACAGGCTCCAGAAACAAAACC